ATCTTATTATTTTAGAATAAATTATCTTATTCTAAATTATCAAAAAAAAAAGAACAACTAATATATTTTACTATTTTACAAGGAAGGAAGGAAGGCAAGCAAGGAAGAACAAGGAAAACCTTTGCTTTTTGATTGCAGTATTATGGATTTCTGTGTGTATGTTTATATCCAGCTCATTTTAAAATGTCCCTATGTTAAAACCAAACCTAGACCCTTGATTTGTTTTGTTTATCATTTAAAATATGTTGGTTCACTTTGTTTGCTTATGCTTATATAGGTGTGAAAGATGTAGGTGTGCGTGCGTGCGTGCGTGCGTGTGTGTGTGTGTGTGTGTGTGTGTGTGTGTGTGTATTGAGAGCTGGTGTCAGAGGGGAACTGACTGTCTTCTTGATGCCCTCTAATCTTGATCACTCAGTGACATATGGAGAGACTGTTCTGTGTGAAATTGACATGAAAGACCTGACCTTCGCAGCCAGCTTCACAGCCACCAGAGATGTCTAATGCCATTAACAAAAGCTGCTTTGACGGTGACCATATGAAATAGGTGTTTATTTGTGTATATGCGTGTCTTCAGCTGTATTGAATTTCATCATCTGAACATCTTTCTCTGTGTGCGGAGTGACATTTATCTGTCTGTCTGTCTGTCTGTATACTTGAAATGGATTGCAGAAATATAAGATGCAGAGACAAGTGTTAGTACAGTTTGTGCATATCTACAACATTTTGCCATAATTACTGATTGTTCTTAAAGGGGTCATAGGATGCCCATTTTCCACAAGTTGATATGATTTTTTAGGGTCTTAATGAAAAGTCTGTAACATAGTTTGGTTAAAATTTCTCAAATTTCTAAAAAACACCTTTTTTACACGGTCAAAAACAGCTCTTTTCAGATCAAGCTGTTTTTGTAGCATTGTGCATGCAGCATCTTATCACCCCTTTAAGAATTTGACAATATTTTGCACTTGGATAATTTCGTACCCCCTTGTTTCAGCTTTCAAGGAAGCCTTGATTTCACCTGTGACAGCTTGACTACAGCTGACAGATTTAAACAATTCTACTAGGAAAATGGAAAATCCTTCTGCCTGTGTACAGGAAATAGTCTGCTGCTTCTCTGTTTGATGTTTACTCTATATTCCATTCTATAAGTGCTGGCTAAAAAGGCTCATCATGTTGAGGGAGAGGGGCTGATCTCTGTTCAATCACCCCTGCTCTCCGCTCTCCTCCAGCAACAGCAGGGACAGTTTACACAGTGGGTAAAACATGGCTGAGTGAATTTTTTTTTTTTTAAAGACTCCATTTTGTGAGGTGGTCAAGAGGTTAGGAAATTTAGATGTCAGTCAAACCATATTGACTCAATCCCCTAACATTCACAGAAGGATCTTATCTGATTGTATGTGAGTGTGTGTTTGTATATGTGACTCTGTCCCTTCAGGCTAATGTTTCAGTGCTATCATGACACCAGTGAGGTGCATCTACTTTTAGGTACTCTCAGTCTCCCTGTGTTATATCCATGCATACATTATATATACTACCGTTCAAAAATTTGGAGTCATTCAGTTTTTAAGAAATTAGGAATTTTTATTTTAAGAATAGGGAATTTTAAGAATAAGGACTCATTAAATAGATCAAAAGTGACAATCAAGACTTTTACATTGTGGCATTATGTGCTGTACTTTCAAACTCTCTATTCATCAAAGAATCAAAAGATCAAATAAACGCAGCCTTGGTGAGCATAAGAGACTTGTGCGAATGGATCATTGAGTCAGCGAGCAGACCTCAAGAACTGAATCTGTGTGATTCATGAATCAATCATTCAGACAGGTTTTGTGAACCAGTTCAATTGAATAATTGAATATAACTCATGATATATATAGTCTTAGCCTTCTTCTTTGCCATAGAAATAGTAAAAATAGCCACAGGATGTGACCTCCTTAGTCTGTTTGTGTTTGACATTTTGGCCTTGTGTTTGACCTCTCATGATCTCTAGCTTGTGCTTACTACTTTGACAGGCTCATTCTCATCATGCATCCTGGTGTTAAGCACAGAAAATAGTTTTACCCAATTCAGATATTCTAAAATTCGGCAAATTGACTGTCAGTGATTAAATAGAACATACTGTACTTATTCAGTGCAAGTCATGGATTTGCTGAAGATCAAATAATACATGCACATACACACATATACAAACAGATTTGCAAACAGACTTTTTTTTTTTTTGCAGACTAACACTGCATTGTAATTCCCCAAGGGAAGATTAATTAGCAAATGCAGAGTATACATGTCTGCATCATCAATAATGAGCGTTTCACTGACTGTGTTCATTAAGACAATGGATTGGTCTTCATTAAATGTCTACCTTGAGCAACGATGCTAAGCATATAGATGAAACAGATGTAATAGAGCTGGCCAGTGCCTGTGCCTTTCAGGTAAGCCTCTTATTTAGGGCTGATTACAACAATATTTCCTGAAATTGTGAGGATATTGTGGTTGTATGAGTCACTCTGAGTGAAATTGAAATCCACTTGGATTTAATCTTGTGCTGAGCTGTAATGACAATCGTCATTTATTATTTAGCTGCACTAAGACTCATGTTTTTTTTTGTTTAGTTTTTTCATGCAGACATATTCTCACAGTAAACTAATCTTATTTTAAACTATGATGATCCATGACAAACAGCCGTGTCGTGTATTCCCTGTCTTCTGATTTGCTCCCACTGCTTCATGACCTGATATAATGCCATGCGTTCATTAGAGTAAATCTCAATTCAAGCCTTGCCTTTCCCTTCTGAGGGTTTTCATTTGTTTCTTATCTTTTCTCCACTGCCACAAAAGCCTCTCCATTCCTTTCGACATCACCTGAAACAGTCGCTGTCCTCTAAAGATATTTACGCTTTATGTGTTGCTATATATTCCATTCTAAATTCTTATCTTTAGCTTTAACATTTTGATATGTTTTACAACAAATTAGGTAAAAAAAAAAAGTTATACTCAAATTAGGTAAAAAAAAAATGGATTTGCAAATCTAATGATAAGATGAAATGTAGTCCATCACAGCTAATTCCAGAGACATTTTACTATGACATTTCCCAGCAGAAATCCTTATGTTTTGAACATATCTTCAGAGCATGATGTTTAATCATCTTTATCTGTGTGTTCACACAAGTCATATCTTATGGAACAAACTCTATCTCTTATTATTTTTTACAATATCTTTCTAAGAGTGACCTCTTGTCATTTCAGTTGGCGGGACAAATTTACAACACTGTATCGCGAGTGACATCTAGTGGCATCAACAAACATATGAAGGTAAAATGACGTCAAAAAGATTTGCATACGCAGGGTAAGAGTTGTGGAAGTGTACATAAGACTGTAAGTGTAAATTAAATTTGCATGCGCAAGATAAGCTTTGTAAAGGTGTAAATCGTGTTTCAAGCGCAAGAAAAAAATATTTGCAGCATTTTACTGTTACTGTGTAATTCATGTATTGTGAAACTGCAGCTTCATGCTAACGCAAAATAAATATGATCTGCATGCTTCTGACTTCCATTTTTCCGCGCTTACACTTTTGGCACGTTTAACTGTTGTTTTCGCTTGCAAATCACTGTTCACAGGCTTGCAGTGCTTTTGACCGTCTCTTGGCGAAAAAAAAACGTGCCAAAAGTGTAAGCGCGGAAAAATGGAAGTCAGAAGCATGCAGATCATATTTATTTTGCGTTAGCATGAAGCTGCAGTTTCACAATACATGAATTACACTTAGGAGTAACAGTAAAATGCTGCTTGAAACACAATTTACACCTTTACAAAGCTTCTCTTGCGCATGCAAATTTAATTTACGCTTACAGTCTTATGTACACTTCCACAACTCTTACCCTGCGTATGCAAATCTTTTTGACGTCATTCTACCTTCATACAAACAGTACAAATGAATCGGTGGCCAACCGCCAATAAAACACCAAAGAAAGCCTTAAAAACTGATTTTTTGCTGTTTGTTCTATTTACTTGATGACCTGAAGAGGCAACACAATTCTTAACCACTTTGCTGAAAAACTGATTTCTTTATGTTCAATACACTTTATGTAACCTTTAATTTTACAACATCCTATTTGTGTTGGGACTGAATCATTTTTGATGGCATTAGCCTGCACAAGCTACTACTAACATTGGACTGGATAGGGAAAGTAATATGTTTTTGAGTAAATTGATAGACTTGTTAGTGCTATTTTTGAGTGTTTTATGTTCTTTTATGTGTTATGAATTTCTGTGGTTACCGTTGTGCTGAACTGTGCTGCTTTCTGAACTGCAACATAAAGATAACGGCGTATATTGCTTGCTTCACTCAGTGAATAGTAGCTGTGATAATTAATTGGATATTGCATAAGAAATTGAATAGGAAAAATAAACCTAAATGTATGAACCTGAAAAGTGGCTAAATGTTTAAATGGCTTTATTTAATTATTTAAATCGACCTAATCGAACTAAATTATGTTGGCTTAAATAAATTGATTTATTCTAAATGGAAAATAGGACATTATGTGTAAATAATATATTCTATATTCCAATTAAGTTGTGTAATGACTAAACAACATTGGTGCTTTAAATATACACTAGGGCCCAAATGTCTGATGCTGTATTAAAAATGGAGGATTCAAATTTAATTTAAAACTCAAAATAAATAAATTTTAGGATTTTAAAAACAAACATTTTATGACAAAATGAAAAAGAAATAAACTGTGCACTTAGATTTCTAAGTCACTAATCAAATAAGCAAATTTGTTCATGTGTCTCTTTGAATAGACAGTGTGTGTGTGTGTGTCTACATATATAGACAGACATAGTTAGGAATAACATATGACAATTTGCTTTTGTTTGTTTGTATTTGGGTTGTTACTTAATTGTGTCTGCATAAAAAATTACTTGACAAATAAAGTACCAAAACTAATTATATTACAAGTGATTAGAAACACAGTGGTTAAAAAAAAAAAATCACACAAACAAATATCAATAAAGACAATAACAGGCCCACTCACAAACTCTTTTTGTGACACAAGACACATTTCTTTTAGTCATTGGAGTAAAAAATACACATGAACCAACACAAACTCAAATACAAACATCATGTTACTCTTTGTTGTTGCATGTTCAGTTTCATTGTGCAAATCTTCAATTTTCGAGTGCATCATTGTCATTCAGGGTTTGTCATCAGAGTTGATGTAATCCATCAAAATCCATCACATCAGAGAAAGAAAAACATAATAATAATAAGAGACCTCAGATTTCTGATACAACATTAGAAAATTAATCCTAACAAATGCATTTAATAATAAATAAAAACCTCTACATAAAGTATCATTGGTGAGATGTTTTAGTTGCACTTAATATAAGTAAAGTAGGTTTATGTGGCAGATATTTGTTATATTTGTCTTATATTTGGATTTAAGCAGCTTGGGGTAGTTTTATGTTCCAAAAAGAAAAAAGGAAGGGAAAAAAAAAAATCCTGCTACATACAAAAAAAAAAAAATGCTGCATGCTTATTTTATGAGCAACAGAGAAAGTGTCTTTTTATGTTTTACAATATACCATTCTGAATGTAGCTGAAAATCAGTGCAAGAATAATTTTCAGTGTAATCTCAAAGTGAAGTGCTTTTCAGGAATATCCCATCATGGGTGTTGTTGGGTAATATACAGTTGCAAAAAGTTCATTTTGAAAACCTGCTTCCTTTTCATCTCTCACTTGCATCTCTTTGTGACATCACACCTTGAAGCCTCTCTGTCCTGCTCAGTCCTGAGCTACAGTATTTTAGCACATTTTAAAATGTTACAAATATTCAGAATTTATGAAAATCAAATACAAGAATCACAAGTCATACTTGCTTTAGATGGTATCAGAATGTGGACTAGAACTGTGTAAAGTTGCATTGTAGGACGAAACTTGGTTTTATGGCACATAGTTCACTACAGTACATGGTTCAGATGTATATTTCCATCAGTGAAGTGAGTTTAAAGTGCATTTTGAAGAGATTTAAGGGTTTATGAGTTGAACATTTCAATGGATATCGTCTTTTTTCTGTAATATTTCTTTCTAACTGTGCTGGCTAATGCAAAACTCTTTAAAGGCACAGTTTGTAATTAATTGTCTGTTTTTTATGTATAACTGAGCAGCATTTGAATCCACTATTTTTAATATTTTATAACAGCTTAACACTTTGTTCTGCACAGTTATATTACTCTCTTTCCGTTACATTCATATTAAGTGCTCTATTTCTGTATCATCTATGGCTTTTTCCTTACAAAAATGCTCAAATTTTACATTGAAATTATATAAATATCAGTTTATGCCCAGAAATAATTTCTTGTCAAATTAAGATTATGTTGGCTTTTGGTAGGTTCTTTTTATGTAATATATATGCTCTGATTTCAACTTTGACCTTTGGTCATTTATTGTGACAAATGCTTTCAGTCCTCATGTCTGGGTCGTTTCAGATTGGTGGGCCACTGAGAATATATCACATGTGGGAACGATGTACAGTCAGCGGGACAGGGCACAGTGAACAGTGATGGTGTTGACCTTATACACACACACACACACAGACGCGTACATGCACACATTGAGGTGTTTTTGTAGATAGAGGTCATAATTCGGCGTGTTGGTTGGAGATGATCTCAGCGGGGAGGTCTTTGATTGGCAGGTCTCTGGCCTCCCCCCCTCCCACATCTGTGCTCTCACAGCTGCTCTGAGGAGACTCGGGAGGCGGCTTGTAGAGCATGGCAGCCAGCAAAAAGAAAATAGTGCCTAAAACCTGAGAAAAACAGAGAAATTAAATAAGTCAAAACAAAATTGAAGGAAGTTGAATTAAAAAAATTCATATGGTTGATGTGAACATGATCTTAAAGTGAATTATGTATTATAAGTGAGGTCACATTCAAAATCTGGGATTAAAAATCTAATTTGAATCAAGAATTAAAATATTTAAGGGTCAGTAGCAACATTTATAATGTTACAAAATATTTATATTTCAAATAAATACTGTTCTTTTGAACTTACTATTCATCAGTGAATACTGAAAAAAATAAATGTATTATGATTTCTACAAAAAAATTAAGCAATACAACTGTTTTCAACATTGATGATAAGAAATGTTTCTTGAGCAATACATCAGCATATTAGATTGACTTCTGAAGGATCATGTGGCACTACTATAAATTTTAAGATTTATAATTTTCAAAAATGCAAGCAAAAAGCATTATTATCGAAAATGAAATTTTAAATTAATATTCCTTAAGGTCACTTTTATGTATAAATGGCAACAAATCAAATATTAAGAAATACAGTAATGACATGCATGCTATTTTTAATTAACTTTCAGTCAAATTGTTATGCTGATAATATAATTTGTAACAGAAACATTTGTATTAAATTAGCAAAATGGAAGCATTTTCACGAATAGTCTCAGACTTTTGATCCCCACTTGAGGTGTTATACTTTAGCTTTTATGAAACTCTTGAAACTGACTTGTCAGTGCACCACAGGAGGTCATTTAGTGCTGCAAATGGCCTCCTGTGGTAAATTGAGAAGTTAGTTTCAAGAGTTTCATACAATCTAAAGTATATTAAATGTGGAATGAGTCATCATTTCTGGGAACATTTTTGCATAATTTTCAGATATTTTCAAGTGTGTTTTTCTCTACCTTGTAGATGATGCCTGCGATGAGTGAGTACTGGCTCATGGCTGAGTTGTGGTACAGGTAACAGGAGCCGTATTCCCCACACTGCTCCTCCCACAGCAGGCAGGAGATGTCAATCACTGAGCCGAACGCTATAGGGCCTGGGATCCCACCGAGAGTCCTTACTACGATCCACTGTATTCCAAGTCCAAACGATCTCTGACTGTCAGGAACACACCTGCAGGAGAAGACAGACAATCACAATATACTATAAACACAAGCATCTGTATTATAAGGTAAGCCACAAGAGATCCTACTATATATGTTTGGAATGGGATACTAGCTTACTACTTAAACACTATATATTTTTTTATACATATAAAAAGTGAAAGAGTAGGTATTTTTCCACAATAAAAACAGCAATATTATGAAATATTACAATTTAAAATAATTTGTTTTTCTATTTTTATATATTTTAATGTCTATTTATTCCTGTGGTGACAAAGCTGATTTTTCAGCAGCCATTACTGCAGTCTCAGGGTCACATGATTCTTAAGAAATAATTCTAATATGCTGATTTGGTTCTCAGGAAGCATTTCTTATTATCATTATTACAAAACATTTGTGTTGCTTAATATTTTTTTGGAAAACGTGATACTTTTTCCCCCAGTTTTTTTTAATGAATAGGAACATCAAAACAACAACACTTATTTGAAATATAATTATTTTATAATATTATAAATGTATTTACTCTCATTTTGATCATTTTAATGCAACCTTGCTAAATAAAAGATTTAAAAAAAAATCTTTCAAATCTGTCAAACGAAAAAAAATCTTACTGATCCCAAACTTTTGAACCATAGTGTATATGCAATGGTCATACCTGAGTGTGGCAGTAAGTGCAGGGATGCTGCAGAGGAAAGTGAAGAAGATGATGATGAAGAGGAAGGTGAGGAAGGCTGGCATGTGATTGCAGGACGACACACACCTCCCTTTTTCAGCAAAACCTTGTTCTCCCCATGATATATTCCCTACCACACAGCTGCAGCCAGAGAACACCTATGAATGCATAAACACACGCACACCAATAGGGACAAATTCATAACCAAGAATAAGATAGATTCATGTTTTTTTTTTTTTTAATTCTGAGACCTCTTAAAAAAATAAACTTTTGCTTTGCATCAAAATCGATGCAAAAATCAAAAACATTTATGCAGCTTAGTTTTAATACTTCTGTGTAGTATTGTTCTGAGACTTACAATATGTCTTCATAGTACAAGCTCAAACATTGATTTCAAAAGATAAAAAAAATTATATGACCCTTTAAATGCAATTACCTGACAAAATGTGTGCAATTACGCCAGAGTTAATTGATTAATCATGTTGTTAAAAGAGTGTACGTGACACTGAGAAAGTGTCGAACATGGGGTCTGTGTACCTGTCTGCCTCTGGGGCTGTATGTGTGGTTGAGGGAGCTGCAGCCGGCATGGCAGGGAGAGAAATACATCACTCCATCCGCACCACACACAGGGTTAAACAACTCCTTAACACAGTGACAGCCAATGTTACAGCTTACGGTCAAGTTGCCCAGATCTGAGAGGCTGAGAGAGAAGTATTTTAGTTTTAAATTTCATTTCACCTCAACCGATCAATAACACATTGTCAGTCAATTCCCTTATTCCTGCTACCATTAGCTGTGTAATAAAACAAGCATGCAACATGTCATACTTGATTAATTTAAAAAAGATTAATACCTAAAGGTGACTGAAAAGTTAATTAATTTTAATTCATTATTTAGTTGTGATTAATACACTTTTGTGTTCTCTTCTAAGGGACAAAAATGTCTTAACAACAACAAACTATTCAAGATAAACCCAAGTTAAATGTCTATTGAAAAACAAGCAGTTTTCAAAGCATAATACAACATGTGGAACTGGCAGGCAAATGTAGAAATTCAACTGTATAGAAATAGCACGCTCTAACAGAACAGTTAAATGTCTTAACATTTTTGTTGGATTATTAATCTGGCATTTCTGGATATGACTCAACAAATCAATAATAATATATTATCTGTCAAGCCCCTTTATGTCTATTGATAAAACCTGCATTGAATAAATCCTGAAAAAGCTTGCTGAGGGGAAAAAGTAAGCCTTAGAAAGCACTCCTCGGTTTTGAGGGGAAAAACATAAAACAAAGATATTTATTCACATCAATTAATTAATAATTTTTCCCCCTTCACTTTATAGGACAGTAGACCCCAGACAGGAAAGCAGAAGTAAGGGGGAACTGGACAGGGCACATTTTTACATTACATAATAAATGTGCTAAATTAGCAATAAGTAGTTAATTCTGTCGATTCATTTATTTTAAATCAATTATCTCAAACTGATGTCATGTAGATTTTGACCTCTTGCTCTAATAATAAACTTAATGACCCTCTATATGTGTATATATTGCAGTTTATTTGGTTAAAGTGAACATTATCGGGGTAAAGGAGCTGAACGCACAGCTAAGAACCGAGGAAAGGCATAAAATAAAAAACTCAGCGTATCTTCAAAGTGAACCACTGAATCATAAATGATTCAAGGTGGGTATTGTTAATATTATTTCAAGGCTTCACTCTCTGTCCTTTTATCTCTCAAATAGATGTACTTCATGTACTTCCTCTTTTACACATACACACTGTGCTGATGCTATTTCAACTGAACGACTGAAGCCACCCCTACACAGCTAGACAAATGCATATGCACATCTTACTTACACCCTATAATCAACAATTATATTTCTTTCCTATCCATATAAGGTAACATATAACTCCTGAATACTTTGATTGGATGTCCGAGACATCCAGTCTGTTGTTGTTTGTATAAATGCGACCTATCTTCCTGAATAAAGTTGAGAATGCTTTGGTAGTGCACCAATTCTCTGTGTCTGCTCATTCATTCTCCCAGGCTTGCACAGCAACAGAACACCACTGGGGTTGATTATAGAGATAAATAACAGATAAACCTCCAAAGATTTAATCTAACAGTAATGAATTCACAGGGTTTCATACCTGTTGTTATGGATCTCTGTCTGCAGGTAGGGGGCGCTGTAGTGGTTGTGTGTAAAGTTGTAGTATGGGGCGGTTACTCCTGCCATGGGCACATTAGGACAGTGTACCAAAAAGATGAAGATAGCCATGAGGCTGACCACTGCACACAGCATGCAGAAACGGATGATCCCGCGGCAGCGAAGGTTCAACTTTTTTACAATGAAACCACCCAAGAAGGTGCCTCCTCCACCAGCTGGTACCACCATATACCCTGGAAAGAGAAGATGGAGTTAAAAACAACTCGGTGAAGTTCTTTCCTATATGCCAAGAGTAATTTGAGCAAGAGGGTGTGGCATTGAGTTTGATTAACGTGATTCTTACCGAACCAGGTTGCTGCCTCTGAAGCACTCAGACTAAACTGAGACTCCAGAAATTTGGGGCCAAACGTGGACATCCCGGCTATGAGTGTGGCCTCCGTGGCCCCAGCGAGACACAGAAAGATGAAGGTAGGGTTCTTCAAAAGCAGCAGCATTGACCTATAGAGAAAAAGGGAGAAAATGACTTATTCAGTAATTTAAATGACTTGCATCTTGCAAATGAGCACCACAACATTGTAATTTATCAATGTTACAATGTAAGAAATTCACTAAAAAGCACACTTTGTAATAATGTCAAATTAAAAGTCTTTTTAAATCATTATGTTTGAATTATCTTTTGTTGTACTTTAAAAAAGTTTGGTTAGAAATTACATACATATATCGCAAAGAAAACAAAAATAACATAATTTATTCAACAATTCTTCTCCCCCGAGTTACGTCTTCCGCCATTTTAGAGAGTATCACAACGCATACGCACGCTTTCCCCTAAGTGTAAACAACGCTGATTACGCAGATTATGTTCGTGCGCGCGCTTTCCCCCTGAACGTAAACAATGCTGATTGCGTCGATTATGCTCTTGGGTACTCTCTAAAATGGCGGAAGACGTAACTCGGGGGAGAAGAATTGTTGAATAAATGAATGTTATTTTTGTTTTCTTTGCGATTAAAAGGTATTCTCGTAGCTTCGCAAAACTGAAGTTGAGCCACTGATGTCACATGGACTGTTTTACCGATGTCCTTACTACGTTTCTGGACCTGGGAACATTACAGTTGCGTTGCTGTCTATGCAGGGTCTGAGAGCTCTCACATTTCATCAAAAATATCTTAATTTGTGTTCTGAAGATGAATGAAGGTCTTACGGGTTTGGAACGACATGAGGGTGAGTAATTAATGACACAATTTTCATTTTGGGGTAAACTAACCCTTTAAAACGCATTGATGATGGATTTTTTCTTACAAACACACAGCTTTTTAACATGCAATTAAGTGTTTTAAGTACTCTTTTTGAAAGTATGCTAAAGCGTACTTATTTTTCCACGGATTGGACCAAAAGCTGGCCAAAATTATTTGTTTTACATACATTAATCCTTTTTAAAACAATGTAAAACATGCATTTTAAATGATTCTATCTACCATTTTAGTCATCTAGTCTTTTTTTTTCATTTTATAAGTTAAAACAGCACATGCTGTTCAGTTGACATCTCTTGGCCAACTATTCCAACATTTCAATTTTATAGATAGCCGTTTATGGATAACATACAACAGCAACTGACAGCACTGATTTGTGCTTTTTTCTTTTATTTCGGTCAAAAGACCTATTGGTGAAATGCAGCAATTGTCTTTCAATAACCTTTGAAAACTGGACCGAGGAGAGGAAAACAAGGAGAGGTTTTAATGATATCTAGTGGAATCTTTGCAGCCAAATGAAAACTTGCAAACCAAATGAAATACAACAACCCAATAACTTGTACGTGGCAGTTTGTTGGATCTTTAAAAGTAAAGTGTCAGTGAAAAGTGCTAATTTCCTGGATGTTTAAAAATCGTCTAGGGACCCATCACCCATCTGAATTCGCTGAATATGCCAGTCAAGAAAACTACAACCTCAGCTACTTCCCATCAACCAAGTGTCTAAATATAAACATGGTGGTACAGCACATGATAACAAACGGTAAAATGCGGCATATAGTCACACAAGTATGGCTTTTAATATGTTTGAAAAAACAGCAGAGGAAACAAACCTTCCTCTCCGGTCATGTGTTCATACCTGGGCATGTCCTTTACTGTTTTGCCAAACTGAGGATCAGATGCAGTGACCTGACTGCCGTCCTTCAGCTGGTGGGCTTCTGAGACCCGCATGGCTACATACCGCTGAGAACCTACAAGATACAGAAAGTGAGACTGTTACTCACACTAATACTATACTGTACTGCAGTCATTTGACTTCTTTTAATTTGGGCATGTGGGTAGCACCTGGTAGCTGCCGTGGGTAACCCAATATAGGCAGAGCGATAACCAGAGCTGCCGCTCCTCCTGCCAGGAAACCAATCCACCAAGCTCCCACCCACAGTGGGTTTTCAGGAGTCAGCTCTGTCCTAAGAGAGACAGAGAGAAATTTTAGCTTTAGAAAGGTGACTCAAGAAACTGTGTAAAGTTTAGTATTTGAATCAAATTGTTATGTTTTTGTTATTTCTATGGATTTATGTCAGTCTGTGTTCTTCGTCATGGAAGTCACAGGGTCCAAATCGATCCTAGTCTGTTACAGAAATTTAAATGTAACCCTCAAAATAATTCTGCATTTCTGCCATCTAGTCTCCTATTTATGTATTTATATTGTGAATACAAACAGGACATTTATAAGCGGTCAGTGACAGTAATTAGATAAATTTTTAGCAAATATCAAAGTGAATGAATGATATGAATCCATTTTTCATACACTACAAATGTATATTCTGTTTTTATGCCTAAATCCACTTGTGGAATTTTAAATGAAAGGTTGTGTGTGTGTGTGTGTGTGTGTGTGTTAATTAATTAATTAACAGCCTTTTGGTATTGGCCAGAATGTTACAGTTTTTCTCGATTGCTAACACACTATAACTGATTCATTTGGCTCAATTTTCCAAACCATTCATACAGTTCCCGAAACAAAGACACGTTTCTCAAAACCTTTAACACATTTCACCTGTTTGCACACACGTTCCAATTTGCTCAGTGTTTTCTGCAAAACTCTACAAAAAAACACCATCATTTTGCACAGGTTTAACCATGTTCTCATTCAAAAAACACAAACACACAATAGAATTAACTCAAGCATCAAAAAATGAACTCAAACAGCGCACATTTATCCATGTGTGAACATTAAGTAGCAAAACTGATGACACACAGGTCAGAATCTTAGGATGATATGCACAGGAGCACAAGTGATTATGAGTTTTGGAAATAGAATCCTGGTAGTGGGAGAATAAATAAAAATGAAGGGGATGAGGTCAAAGGTCATTTGTTCCTGATGAAATACAAAGCACTATAGTTGAGCATGTTCTTCTGCATGGACTGACCATGTGGGAAGTTGCCCTACAGGCTCATCTACAAGGTTTCATTACTACTTACACATACAATATAATTACAGTACATAGTAGCAGTACTTCAGATGAGAGAACTTTCATGTACAGTAAATACTGTAGCACATGTAGCGCACCCTCAAACTCATTACTGTTGAATTGATTTGTAGCCAAGTAGTCCTTATATGTACTCTAATTTTGCAGAACTGAAAGACGACTGTCTAGGGTAGGAAGTCTTTTGTCAGAAGACTAAGAAACTGCTATAACAAATAAGGATAATACAAATACTGTAATTGGCAGAGGATGCTGAATGAATGAATGAATTTAATTATTTATTTATTCATTCATTATTTATTTATTTATTTCTGTAAAGTAACTGACAGTATATTCCAATGTGTGTTTGCTGTATATTCAGTTGTTTGGTCTTTGAACTTTTCTTTTGTAGTGCTTTTCATTTACTGTAAGATCTCTTTACAGTAGTGTAATGACAGTAAACTTTTCTTAAAGTTTATTGCTGAATTTTATTGTATCTGCACCCCTCTATTTATGTTGTATACTGTAACAGACATTGACTAGCAAAAGGATTCCTATTTCCCAAAAGGAGGTTTTTGTAACAGTGTTTTGAATTGATCTCTGTTCTCTAGGCAGGAAAAGAGTCTGTGTATTTGACAGGTTTGTGTCATCTGAGGCCAAAGTTTGAGTCTGACAAAAGAGAACATGTTTTAAACTAAACTATTTGATTTTGACATGGAAGTTTGAAGTTTGCACAAGTTGGTGTGTAGTTTTGAGATTGTGCTTATAGTTGTGAGAAAATGGTGAATTGTTTCATGAATTATGTGTTAGCAATCGAGAAAAACTGTAATATCGGTGCATCCCTACATCAAAATGAAGATAATAAATATCTATCAGGATTTACATAAGGATCAGATGCAATTCAACTATTTATCACTAGGAGTCTGACACTTGTAAAAGCCTTTCCAGGAATAATTAATCTAAAAATGCTAACTCACTGCTTATGTAATGCTGTATATTATGTCTGTGAATTATAGATAAAATATGGACTAAAAAATGAACTTTTTCATTAATACATTTTTTGTTATTACTTTACTTATTAGTGAGTATTCATTTGCTAAAATGAATATTATTTTCTTACTCATTAGCCACTTACGTTTGGTCGATTTCTGTGTAAATATTGAGAAAGAATCCACCCAGCAAGTATCCAGCCGCAGGTCCTACAATGGCAGCTGTGTAGAAGATCCCTGAGAAAACAGAAGAAAGCATATCAAGTCTCTTCGCCTCCTTCTTCTGCCCCCTTAGTCATATGAAAGCTGGTCTGGGTTCACACTGATTCATGTTTTCGATCAAAAGACACAGTAAGATGCAGTTTGTATTTCCAGTGCCTATGTCTGGAGAGGGGGCAAGCAGGGTAGTGATTGTCCTCAATGGCCTTTGAAAATTGGACATTGGGGAGAAAAACAATGGAAGGAGGTTTTATTGATGTCTGAGGTGGAAACTAGTGGCTCTCACTGATAACAACAAAACAAAATGAATAGGTGTATCAAAGTCTGAGTGGGACAAAATGACAGGATTCAGTGAGGGTAAATATCAATTCTTGAGTGTTTTCCATTCACACAAAAGCATTTCAGAATATAGATCGGAGTGCTTGAGTACTTTTGAAATCAGGTACACAGTCACATATAAACCCTCTGACAAAATCAAGTCCAATCAATATACAGGGATGCACCAATATTAGGACCCCAATTGTTTTGATTATTTCTGAATCCTCTTTTAATGCTTTAATTAAATTTCAATAATTAAAAAGCAAGTCTAATCAACTGAATTTTACCAATATATATTAGGCTCTAGGAAATCTTTTTTTTCTCTCCCAAATTCTGATTTTATTGTTCTGGATTCTGTGTTTTATGATTTAATACAAATTTATCATCAAGAATTTTACTAATCAAATTAATTTTATAAAAACATTAACCACTTAATCAATCATTTAGCTATAAGTGAATGTTAGATGATAGCAGAAGTCATCTAAATGTAAAAATAGGGGAAAAGCAGGCCAAGCAGAATAAAATATCTAACATCAGCCTAATACAGGACATATTTTCATGTTTTTAATGGCATCATCACACTCACCTATATATACAGGTGCGTAGTTTGACTTGACATTCTCATCTAGGTAGGTGACCCCGAGGGTGTACAAAGGGGTTGCCCCGATCCCATGCAGAAACTGTCCCAGCATAAAGACGAAGCGGTAAGCCGAGAGCCCACCTTCCTCGCCGACACACGTTTCGGTGTGATTGGCCAAGCACAGTCCCATGCGCTCCGGTACTCTCACCTGATAGGGTGGTGTGGTGAAATGGGGCAGGGCAAAGACCAGAGAGCCCAGTGCCATGATGAGCACACCCCAGCCCAGCCATCGAGGCTTATGACCAGTACCACCAAAGTAGCTCACGAATGTCAGGCACACACAGGCAGCAATGTCATAGGAGCTCGCAATGAGTCCCGCCTGCAACAGCATCACAAATTACGCATTGTGTTAATAATGGTGAGGTGTACACAAATTCCAGTTTGAATACTGTTCGCCCTGTAATGTTTGAGATTAGGTCTGATGTGTCTTTTAGGGCCATGCATACTTTTTGGAATAATTTTATCCATAAACCAATGTGATATACAAGGTGGATGGGCTGTAATGCTTCTCTGATTTACAATTAAATTCTATGGCATATGCTTACTTCATATTTGAAAGTACATACCATTCAAAAAACCGGGGTCAGTAAGTTTTTTTTTTTTTTAAGAAATGTATACTTTTACTCAGCAAGGATGTATTAAATTGATCAAACGTGACAGAAAATACATTTATAATGTTACAAAAGCTTGCTATTTCAAATAAATGTTGTTCTTTTGAACTTTCTATTCCTCAAAGAATCTTGAAAAAAAAAAGTATAATGGTTTCCACAAAAATAATAAGCAATATTAAACAATGATAAGAATAAGAAATGTTTCTTGAGCATCAAATCAGAATATTAGAATGATTCCTGAACGATTATGTGACACTAAAGACTGAATAATGGCTGCTGAAAAAAAATCATCTTTGCATCACAGGAATAAACTACAGTTTAAAATAGAATAAAATATAAAAGTTCTTTTAAATTGTAATAATATTTCACAACATTACTGGTTTTACTGTATTTCTCATCAAATAAATGCAGCTTTGGTGTGCATAAATATTTTTAAAATTCTTACTGAACTTTTGAACTAATATTATTATTAGCACAATATGCAAATTTGGATTTGATTAAGACTAAGATTAAGCAGAGTTTGTCCATGTAGCAAGTCTTTTTTTAAATTATTTTTTTGGTCTATCTATTATACTACAAAATTGTGAGTCAAATCAATATATATATATAAAAAAAAGTATTTTGAACATATAGGCTAATGGTTAATTTTAATGCATTTAAATAGGGATACATTATGGCTGATAGATACCAAATATCAGATAATAATTTTCATGTTATGGCCAATGAGACATTTTAGGCTATTTTGTCTAAATAAGTTCAAAATAAAACACTAAATACTGCAATCAATCATTTTGTGAATTTAGGCATCACAACATTATAAATGAATGTACACTATGAAAAATGGATAATTATGTTGAAATTTGCTTAAGATTACATGTAAGAATTGACCTGGTAGCTGCGCAGGTCAAAACGTCTCTCAATGGAGGTGATGACGGTGTTGATAAAGCCGTTGATTATCATGCCTTGGAGGAAGGAGGCCACACAGAGGAAGAAGAGAACCCAGTGTGGGGTGTTGAAGGTCTGGATACATCGTGGGGTCAGTGCTCCCCATCCACAAAGATTCTCTGAGTCTGTCGGGACAAACTTCAGCCCAGTGGGTGGCTCTGTGTGGTCAAGCCCCAGTTTGCCTCTCTTGTGGAGCACAGTGTGGGCATCTCCAGATAGGCTATTTGGACCAGAGCCCTGGGACTCCACTGGGCTGGATGTGTCCAGGCTGGGTCCCAATGGACTGTCATGTAGGACCAGAAGCTCTTGCTTGGAGCTGAAGGAAGTATCATTGTTCAGCAGATGGGGCATGGCCCCAGCAGGGGGCACTGTGACAGACTTTGTGAAGGGTAAGAAAACAAAACTTTCCCACAGGAAACACTGATTCTATGTGTAGTTTTGCAGAGTGATACAATGGCAGTCTTTGGAAAATTATCCCTTTACGGAGTTTCTTACAGTTTAAACTGAAGACATACAGATTTTAGGGGGGGGGGGGAATTCTGCAAAGAATTGTGAGAAAGAGACACTCAGTTAATTAAAGTTAATTTGTCACCAACTTCAGTAAATTCACAGTAAATAATTTAACTTATTAAACTCCAAAAGCAAATCGATTCAAGATCGTTTCCGCCACAGAATAAAAAAATAAATAAAAAAAGGTAATTGCAAATTCTTTTCAAAATGTTGACTTTGTTTCTCACAATTCCAAGAAAAATTAAAATCTGAATTGTGATATATGAACTAAGAATATACTAGCAATGCTGACTTCTTTTTGTCAAAAGTGTAATTCTGAACAATTCTGACTTTTTTCTCTAAATTCTGTGTTTACATGTTTCCGTCACGAAAAAAACAAAAAAACAAAGGTAATTGTGTCTTTTTGTCTCACAATTCTGACTTTTCTTCTCAGAATTCAAGTTTATATCTCTCAAATCAGAAAAAAGTAAAAACCTCAGAATTGCAAAGAAAAAAATTCAGAATTCTAAGATTTTTTTTAATTCCATGGCGGAAACAGCTTCCATGCAATCTCAGAAATAAATGTGCAAAGATTGTTCCTTTATGTGTACAACAGCTTGTTACTGAGGCAGTACCTTTAAAGGCACACCTTTGTCCCTTTTGGGTTGTTCTTTACCCCCAAAGAGTAATAATAATACCATGAGATACCATATGAAAGCCATTATACCATGAGAGTACTACTTTAAGGGTACATATTACTACTCTAAGGTACTAATATGATCAATTTCTGACAGTGCATGAATTAAAAGGCATGAAATATTTTTTTCTCTCTCTTTATCTAGTGAAGTAAACCATGACTTCCAACCAGACCCCAAAAACTCTAATGAGCAGGGATTAGTTCTGCATGCCATCCATGGTCTACAAAACACTGTGTTCATTCTCTGTGCCAGAGACTTTATGTCACCTCCTCTAAAGTGTGGATGACCTATGGTAGCCTACAGGACCGTTAGGAGGTTTTGAATATTCAAAATTATGTTTCAATTTATGTTCTGCACACACAGAAGTTCTGCATGTGCAGGGGTTAAAACAACGCTGCATTCATTTAGTACACATGCGTGCCACACCGAAAGACTGTACTGAAAATTTTCGCGATATGTGTACCATTAGAGTGTGAGTTGAGATGAGTGGGCATTTTAATTAATTCTCCACTGCAGCTGGATGGACACCTGCGGTTCTATAAAGTCAAGAAAAGCTCAGCTTTATGCAAATGAGTTGTAAAAAAAAAATCCTGGCAGCAGGCAATGGCTAGCAAAGTACAAAAAATACTTTTAAATGTGATAAAGTATGTGGAAGAACACCACAAGCTCAAATTTGGCCTTGCTGTCTTTAAAAGACACATTTACAAGTTCAAATGGAAGAATTAGGAAGGGAAAAAATCTTATTTAACCAATTTAGTATCACTGTAGGAAATTTATCCTTGGCTCAAGTGCTCACTTAATTTAAAAGAAACAACTCTGAGAATGCAACAGTGCCATTAAAAGCACAGGAGTAAAAATGTAAGGTGTACTATTTTAGGCAAATTTTACCTGCGTAAGGCCATTAAGAGATTTTAAAACTTGTTATTTACCCGTAAACTCAACTTAAGTTAATAAGCACTTCTAAAACACTTTCACTGCATGCAAACATATATACTACGAAAGTACAGTATATGAAATTGAACAGTGTATTTATATGCACTTACTCCAAACTACAGTCCATTTTAGATATAGACCTACTTGTGTGTAGGTTATAGCATATGTAGTACTGCATTTATTGTATTGTATTAGGAATATATAAAATATCATATTGAAGTATATTTACATTTCAATTGTGCCTAGATCTTGTGAACACCTAAAGCTCCTGTACGTCTAAGTGCAACCTGGCCAAGCCTCTCTGCTCAGATTCAGATTTTGTTTTTAACACAATTACCAGCAGCTTTGTGATTCATGCACTGGCATTGTAAAATAATTTACGGCCATTATATGAACAAAGTTCATTCTTGGACCCATGCAAAACATATGAGACAAATGCAAATGCTTTGCTATTATTACACTTGGCAGACACTTTAATCCAAAGCAAGTTCCTGTGCAATAAAGTTATATTGTACATTTTATTAGTACATGCATTCCCTAGAAATGAAACTCATGACCTAAATGTCAGAAAACATAAAAAACATGACATATTACACCCAAGAACTGCATTACAGTTTGTCACACTGAAAGAATAGAAAAAGATTGTCACTTTGCCTACCTCAGTTCCTAAGATACTTCATTGGTCTAAAAGGGTCTTTGTTTGATTGTGCAAGAAATCAAAGAGAGAACAAGCAGCATAAGAGAATAGAAGCAAGCAAGACAGCCCCAAAATGGGGCGTTACTCCAGCCTCTCACTCCTTCACAATAGCATTACCTAAAGGCACCTCAGATGTCTCCTCTTAACTCATGACACTTCACACTTCATTCACATTGCATGAATTTATCTAGCAAACCAAGGAGGAAGAAGTTCAGATTCTGCCGTTCTGCCTTGCTAACACTCTAACGTGCCCTACCACAAAAATAATAAAAAAATAATACAATTTTAAATAATTTATTTAATAAAATATTTTTCATTTAACTTTAAGTTGTTTTTAAATACTTTAAATAATTTTAATTGGTAGTATTTAATTGTAGTATTTAATGTAACTGCATGAAAGTTAGGGATTCATAATTTTTTATTTATTCATTTTTTTTAGATTTGTCAAATGTTTCAGGTGAAAATACAACCGTGATGTGGAACTGAGTGCTCACGAATCCTGTGCCAGCTGAGCATAGATGTGAATGTGAATGCTAACAGCTTTCTCCAGGTATTATATTAACAGTTTCCCAATAACACTCTCCACATGCAGAGAAACTTTGGTGGATAATGAGATGCAAACAGAGTTTGTTAACTGCACAAGCTCTTTATATAAATCATGCCATAAAAACCAAACATCAGAATGGGTGTGATCACATTTTTCTTGGTTGAGCATTCAGTCAGTTAAGAAATCTTAAAGTTTAAAGAGAACAGGACAATGCAAAGCAAAATGAAAATTCCCAAACCAGTATTATCATAAAAACTGAGGAACTTGAGACTATGCCATTGCAATCCCTGCTTTCATTCTGACTCATTAGCATGCATGAAGAATGAACACATGGTTGAAAAGCTGTGGAGTTACTATAGTGTTATGGTGGTGCAGCTGAGGCTGTGTGAGTAAATAATTTCTCAGCTCTGCCTTCAAAAGAGCTCTGTGGTTCATGCTTTGTTACAATGAGATTAATAAAAAAAGCCTAATTATTTGTTCTTGCTCTATGAACTCTTTCATTTCTAATTTTAAGAGTGTGATCAAACGGAGGGAAGAATAACATCAGCAAGAGCTCAGAGTCTCAGGGTGGGAACATGTATTTGTTGTGGAGTGCAGGTTCCTTCCCTTTTCTTTGAACTGTACTGAATGGTCATATGGTGAGATATGAATTACACAGAAAAAAACAACAAGGAAACAAAGCAAGACCGCGAGAACGCCACTTTCACTCTTTTTTAGGATTTCTGGGAAGGAAGCGTTATCTGTGAAGCATTCACACAAACATCTATTTTTAAAAATTGTGTAATGATGATTCAGCTGCTGGGTGCATAGAATAGTTAATCTCAGATGTGTTTATTACAAAATGTAATGAATAAATAAACATTCTTTCTCCAACAGCCCTTTGTATTTAATTTATGAATTTGGCAGACTTTTTATCGAAAAAAATTGTATTCAAGGTATGTTTTATCAGTTCCTTCATGCATTACCAGGGAATGAGCCCAAAGCCCATGATTTTGATGTTGCACTTTTTCTCCTGAGTGAGCTACAGTAGAGGAACAAGGCGCACATTTGTATCAAATTTGTTTTAAATATTTTAAGTACACTAAAAAATGGTGTAGTATTTACTTTGAAACAATTGCTAGTAACTTTCACAAACAATTAAAAAAGAAACGGCAAGTAATACACTGAATTAAATGTGAAATTTTTAAGTAGAAAGACTGAAATGGAATTTTCATGTAAAATTTACTCCAAGAATCTTTGTTTTATTTACAATTTCAAAAAAATATTTTAGTAACACTTTAGATTCGGGAACACGTTCACTATTTACAAAGAGTTTTCCCTCAATAAACTCCTAAATTGCTGCTTATTGATAGTAAGTATGGTAGTTGTTGTAGCTGTTATGTTTATGTATAGGGTATAGGTTAGGGGATCTAAATATCGTCATGCAAAATAAGGCATTAATATGTGATTTATAAGTATTAATAAACAGCCAATATGCTAGTAATATGCATGATAATAAGCAACTAGTTTAGTGTTCAGCCAATATGCTAGTAATATGCATGATAATATGCAACTAGTTTAGTGTTCCCTACTGTCACGAATCCTGTCCATGGATGTGACGAGAGGGGCGGGGCCGAGAGCCGTGGGAACGGAGCGAGGCCGGTGGAGTAAATGCTAATGCACGACACCTGCGCCACTCACCGGTCTCGGGTCCCACGGAGGAGCTCCGGAAGGATAAAAGGAGGAGTGACGACAGTGTTGGACGAGAGAGGACCAGGCCTGGATCTTATTTTGTGTTTTGGTTCTGTTTGTGCGCGACAGTCGTCCGTGAGGGGCTGTCGCGCTGTTTTGTTTTTATTTTATTATTAAAGTTTTGTTTACGTGTTCGGCGGTTCCCGCCTCCTTCTTCCCGATCTACAAACGTTGTTACAATGGACTTCCGTTCGATCACCACCAGAGGTCACCCTTCCATTACATTGACTCTCGCACTACACAAAGTGTTGCATGTCATCCCGGACTGCATATCCCATCATCCATTGCACTAATTGCACACAGCTGTAACCAATCACACATTCACTATATAACACTCACTCAGATCCCTTTCAAACTGCCGAGTATTGTTTAGCATCTATGCTGTTATGCGTAGCTACTTTACGGAGCCAGTTCCTGGTCCTAGTTTG